TACGGTGTATCTGGAAACATCTTTAAGATTATTGAATCCTTCCTTTCCAATCGTAGTATAAAAGTTGTCCTTGATAAACAGCACTCTTCTTATTCTGTAACCTCAGGGGTTTCTCAAGGTTCTATCCTTGGCCCTATACTCTTCTTAATTTACATTAACAATCTTTTAGTATTCTTACAACTAAGGTGGCATTGTTCACTGATGATACTGCCATTTATTTTTGTCTCGATAATAAGCCAACACTCTCTGATTTCTTGGAACGAGCATCTGAGCTTGAAAAGGATCTTCTGCAACAGCATGGGATCATAGTGGCTGGTGAACTTTAATTCAGATAAAACTCAATATTTTTCAGCCAATCATTATCGCAATAATTTAGATCTTCCTACATTTATGAACGTTATTGTACTCGATGAGTCATCTACCCTTCCTCTTCTAGGATTAACTCTTACTTCTGATCTTTCTTGGAAACCATTTATCAAATCCGTTGCAAAATTAGCATCTGCTAAGGTTGCATCTTTTTTTTTGAGCTCAACACTTTCTTACTCTGGATTCTATTCTCTATCTCTATAAATCTCAAATCCGGTGTCATATCTGGGGCGGATCTTCTAATGATACCCTTTCTCTTTTAGACAAGGTGCAAAAACTCATTGTAAACATAGTTAGGCCTGCTGTTGAAGCCAACCTCCAATCATTATCACATCGTCGTAATGTTGCTTCTCTTTCTCTTTTCTACAAATATTATAATGGGCACTGCTCTAAAGAGCTAGCGTCTCTTGTACCATCTATTAAAATTCATTCTCGTGTTACTCGTCATTCAATTAGTCTCATTCTTTTTCTGTGGCTATTCCTAAGTGCTCCAAAAACTCTTATTCGTCTAGTTTTTTTCTCGAACATCAGTTCTTTGGAATTCGCTTCCTTCATCTTGCTTTCATGACACGTGGTTGCTAGCAGCCTTGTTGAAAGCGAAGATTTAGAAAAAAAAAGTTAAAAAAAAAAAATAATGATTTCCTCTTCAGTCAAAAAGACTAATAGATTCTATAGGATTCCTGAAGGACCAATAAAATTGTAACACCCTAGTCAAAAAGTCGTGTAAGATACTATTAACGTAAAATTACATTATCGTTTGAAAATTTAGAATTAGAGTTTTTTTATTAATATATCCAAAGCAAATGATACAGTAGATTGCGTAATTTTTCTTTATAAGCTTAAATATTGTAAAATAAACAAAAAAGTTATAAAATGGTTTTGAAAATTACTCACTAAATCAAAAAATTTATTTTTTATTAAAAAAAACTTATTAAATATATCCTGTCGTTTTTGGCAAGATATTTTTATGATTTTTGTTATTAACGTGAATAAAGCTTCAAATCTATTTAGGATATTACTGGTAATGCTAAATAATCTTTCTCTCGGTCAACGATACTTGTAAACAATTTTTCTAATGAAACAATGTAAGATAGATTATTTTCAATTTGCTTTAAAAAAAAAGCGTCATCTATCAATAAATTTATTATTACACTCATAACTATATAAGTAAAATTAAATACTTTTTAACAGACCTCAACTTTCACCTTCACATCGTACATTTCGAAATTTTATTTTTAACAATATATTTCAACTAAACTTTAACGGTATTTAAATAATTATTTCATATCTTTCTAAACAACTGCTTTATAAACTGTACTATAAAATTAGGCAAACATTTTTTTTTTTGCATTATGTTATTGTCTATTCTTAAGCGATAATATATATATATATATATATATATATATATATATATATATATATATATATATATATATATATATATATATATATATATATATATATTATCATACCTTTAAAGATTAATTAAAATATCAGATCGTATCTTGTAGCACCACTTAAAGTATCAGACCATATCTTTAAAGGGGGTTTCTTCCTTAGATGCATGGCATCTAAGGAAGAAACCCCCTCTAAATTTACCAAAGATTTAGGAATATATTTTTGAGAATTTATTCATTACTATGTATACAGAATCTTAAATAGTTAATTGGTTTATTAATTTTAGTTAATAAATCCTTAATATTTTGCATTTTCTTAAGATAACTAAAAGTTAAACCCTAACAACGTTTATAGCAACAGTGTAGCATCTTGTTAAGAACCCACAGATATAAAGTGGAGCTCGAAGTAACTGTAGTAAAATACTTTGTTTGACTTCTTTACTCATCCAGTGAGCTATATACGTCTGGTTTATCAAGTCAAAATTAAGATTACTGTATTTCTCAAGCTTATAAAGTAGATAATTTTTTGTTATTGATTTTCGAAAATGAGTAAAATATCCAGAGTTAAATCAAGAACTAAAAAAAACACTAAAGTAAAAAACAAAAAAGGAAAGGTTTTTTAGGAAAAAGATTTAACAGTCTTGATGATGCTAATACCAAAATGAAGTTAAATGATAATCCTGCTGTAGATATTTTGATTAAACCAAATTTAAAAAAACTATAAATACAACTATGTAAATAACAAATTGGGATTTAATTTATCCTCTCCTGTATCAACAAAGAAGATTAAGTTTGAAAATATCTCTTTATAGAATTTGGTATATTTAATGTGTTAGCTTGTCATCAATGCGGTGAGTGTTCAACATTCTTATTTTCCGACTAAAAGACAAAAAAGGACGTACATCAAAAGTTGTTAATAAGATGCTTTTCCTGAATATAAAAATGAGTTTTACACATCAAAAAAATGTAATAGAGGAATGTGGCATTAATTGTAGTACAATATATACAATGCATACACCTGGACGGGGACATTCTAGTATAAAAAAATATTCAAGTTAATGCAAAAATTACAAACTTAATATGCCACAACAAATGATACAAATCAGTTATGACAAGCTTGCAGCAGAAATTGTGACACAAAAAGTTGCTGAAGATACTATACTTGATTCAGTTTTTGCGGATCTTAGCAAAGATTCAGAGCTACAAAAGTGTTTTCATGGAAAAACACAAAACGCAAATGAGTCGTTCAACAGTAAGATTTGGGATAAACTACCTTAGACCACGTTTGTGTCACTCAATAATTTGAAATTTGGTTACAATGCAGTAGCAAATTTTAATAGTGGTATTAAAAGAATCAGTATTAGTTTTTGAAACTATTACTCGGTACTTTTATTACTAGAGGTTACAGTAAAATAAAAAATAAATCTGTCGAAATATAGAATAAATGAAACGAATAAATTAAGGCAATAATTATATAGAGGAAAGAAAATAAAGCAAAAATGACATTTAGAAAAAGAGGGAACAATAATAAAAATAATAAAACAAAGCTTTTAAATTTTAAAGCTTTTTTTATTAATTCCATAATATTGAACATTCGACTTAGACCTCACACAACTTGACAGTATTGGTTTAAAAAATCTTAAAACACTCACCTAGGCTGTTTTTTATATAGTTTTTATGGTTATCATAGCAACAGGCTATAATTTTATTATATATATATATATATATTTTATATCTACTATTGATCTAGCAATTTTTTTTTCCTAAAAATTAAATTTAAGATAAAGGTTTAAAAATAGTTTAAGTTACCTTAATTTTATTTTTAACTATTGAGTTTTTATATTTAGCCATTTTACCAAAAACTTAAGATAAAAGATCATCCATAAATTACATACACAACCGTTTACGATAAACAAAACAAAAAAGATCAAAAGTTTTCCCTCGCAGAGTATTAATTTAAATAAAAAATCAAAATAGCCCCATCAAGTTTAATAAAAAATGCAGCGTAAAAAAGCTTATCTCGTACTTCTGTTTTTAAAATATATTTTGCGTTGCGTATTTTATTGACAATCGCAAAGAGAAATTTTCTTTGAAAACTTTAAGGAATAAAAAAAAAACTTAATTTAGTTTGTAGAATTGCTACACATTTGTCTGAGAAAATGGGAAAGGTTAAGTGACGTTATGTATAAAAATGTTTCTTAATAAATGGATCGGATGATGATGACTCGGATGATGATCTTAAATGGCTTTATCGATATTTGATTCAAATTCGGTTTTACTTCCTCGAACACTTCCGTAAGGCTCACGCGCCGCTCGCAAAAAACAGTTAAAAAATAAAATCAAATATGCGATGAATTTTATTTATTGAAATACAACTTCGCATCACGATTTAAGATAAATATGTTCAAATAAAAATATAATAAATAAAAATATCAATTTTCTTTGTGAGCAATAATCACAAATTGTTATAGAACCCACCAAACACAAATTATAAAAACACGGGTTTCGAAACACTTCTAAAAGCAGTAAGTTTTTTTTTATATATATATCCTATCTATAAAAAATAGTACATTAAAAAAGCAAATTTCCTAAAGGCAAAAAACTTATTAAAAAATTAGGTTCAAAACAGAGATGTTTATAATGTTAATTACTATATTTAAGATTACATTCGATTAAATATTTGACCCCCTCAATTCAGATGATTATAAATAATACTAATCTATAAGAAAGAAAGATAATCTATACGGTAGCAAGTATTTTATGCATAACCATAACATGAGAATGACTATTAGAATAAGAATTTTAAAATAACAAAATGTCGTTCCCTATTTATATATATATATATATATATATATATATATATATATATATATATATATATATATATATATATATATATATATATATATATATATATATATATATATATATATATATATATATATATATATATATATATACACACACACACACACACACATTTACACTCTTATAAAATGTTTATCTACATAGAGGATATACTGCGATACATATATATACACACATACATATACGATAATCTCTATATACATATCTATACCATATTAACTATATAAATTTTCACATGAAAAATATATGTAAACTTTATACTAAATAATTTATATTCGTCAATATATATATATATATATATATATATATATATATATATATATATATATATATATATATATATATATATATATATATATATATATATATATATATATATATAGACGAATTTCGTTAAAACATCGCACTTTTTGGGATGTTTTAACCATGAAGTCTTTTAACAATCAAGAATACTTTTTCTATTGTGCTAATAGCCATAAATCCAATCGATCGAATTTATTCCGCTGATACTACATATATCCTTACTTTATATCTTCTACAAATGCATTTCAAGATACAAAGTTTTACTTAGGAGCTTGTGGTGCATAGTTAACTGCAACAAAAATACTTAAAAAAATCTTTATAATGATAAATTACGAGTTATTAGTATAAAAAGAAGATTAAAACTTAAGTTAAAAATGATAACATTCGAATAATGTTTTATAACCTGCCGGCTTCACAAATAACTCAAGCAAAAATTCTCACATGGTTATGCAAGCGTTTTCTGCACACAAAAATTCTCAACTTACACACAAACTATCACCTACCTGATGTAAAGTTCTGACGTTGTTGACAGGAGCGACATGTATTGGTTAAGTCACGTGTACATTGATACCTATGAGTGGACCAATGTATGCGTTGACATTCTGTCGTGCAATAGTTTGTGTTCCAACAGCAATGGTAAAATGCCTACAAAAAAAGATGTAAACAAATGTGTGCAGCAAAAAAAAAAAGAGAGTAAATTAATTAATAATAATAAAAAAACTTTATTTGTATTTTATAACTAAAAAGAGACTTTATAATAACCTCTTTAGAACAATTTGAACACCACGACTTTTTTTTAGTAGCTGCTACATGATGTTCTAATTCACTTTGATGTAAGTGAGCACTTTCTTGTAAAGTTCGTTGCATCAGATCATCGAATTCGTGTTTTAGTTTACGACGACTTTCTTCCAAAGCTCGACTATGTTTTAACTCCCACTCTATTTTGTACCTGTCAAATGTTCTTTGCAGACCTTTAAGCTTTTCATCGTGTAAAATGCGCTCTACAATCGTTACATTTTATTGTAAAAAGTTTCTTACTAACTAAACAACTTATAAAAACCATCAATTAATCATAATCTATATAAAATAATACTTGTCTAAACAATTCTTATGAGAAATTTAAGTAAATAAAAATCTCCATATTCTGATTGCAAAATATTTAGAAACATCTTATATATTTGCAAAATATTTAAGATATTTAGAAGTACATATTTTGTTTCTGTTTCAGATAATATTGTTATTAATATTAAAACAGATGTTCTATTTATTGCATTATGACAAAGTCATATAAAAAATACAGATTTTCAAGTACCAATGTTGCTGATCCTTGGTTTTTCCTTCTTCGTTTTCCTCAATCATTAAAACTATGGCCTTAAAGTATTTCAGTATTTCAAAATTTATGAAACATTTATAATATGCACACAAACATGTCAACAAAAACAAAAATAAGCTAATGGAAAGAATAAATATTACAAAATCTTCATTACAATCACAATAAATAATTATTAAGCGAGTAAAACAAATACTTATATAACTATAATTACTATTTATAAAACAGTAATAGTAATGAAAATAACAATTTTCTTATTAGCAAAATGAAGCAACATATATAATTCCAGAGACCATCTATGTCTATTCTAAAAATCTATAAAACAGTTTTTCAAAAAAAAAAAAAAATCCAGAATTTATTTCCCTCATAATTGTCTAAATTTAGCTTTGAATTTGAATTTCTCAATCTCATTGAAACTTTTCTTATTTTTTGTATGAAAAGTTTAAAAACAGTAAATACAAATTTAAATATATTGCAAAAATATATTTAAATTTGTATTTACAAAAAAAACTTTTTGGAAATCCGGAAAAAATAAAAGTTAATATCCGGAAAAAGGATATATACGGAATTCCGGAATGGTATCAATAGGTCATGACAT